ATATAATATGAATCTTATTAAAAACAAAACAAGAGAACATCCGTGTTCAGATTAAAACCACAATCATAAAAATTAAATATTCACTCAAAATTTCCTTACATCCTGTTGAGAAAAAAAATTCTCCATTTACAAAATTTTATTTCCCCAAATTATGTCAAAGTTATTTTTTTAAATCCAATTTTGAATTTTTTTGTTCACTTATTTACCAAATTTTTTATACACTGAAAACCAATTGGATGTTAGAGAGAAAAAAATAATGTAACAAAATTAATGGGTTTTTCTGCTAATTTTCTGTCAAAATTGCAATTTAAAATATCCTGAAGGTTGTCCAGAACAACAGACACCTGAAGAAGGCTAGAGAGCATAACAGCCGAAATGTTGTGATCCTAAAAACAAAAATGAGGTCCAATTGTAAATGAAGTAAATCAAACTCATCTTTGTTGATTTTATTGCAAAGTTTTTTTTTGTCAATTACTACAAGACTTGTACTTTGAATACTCGTCAGATTCACAGCCATATTTCCAAAACAGGAACTATGATTGCAAATTCAATTGAAGGCAGTGATGGCACCTACCTTGGATCCATCATAAAAATCCAATATGTGGAATACTAAACATTTCAAATACCTTGGTGTATGGATCAGTTATAACAAATTCAGTATTGGAGAAAAGGAAATTAAACATGAAATCAGCTGCACTAGTGGTACTTTTGCCTAACATTGCAAATGACTACAAAACCAAAACATCAGCCTGAAAATACAAATAACCTCATCCGATCGAGACATTTATATGAATGTCATTCATAGTACCAAAACCGTTCAGAAATATTTAACTGTCAGCTGTATACAACCAATTTCTAAGATCAATGGTTAAAAATGGCCTTGAATAAGTAAATCCTGTGCATATTCAAACATTGTAAACTCATGCTACAGAATTACAAAAAAATTCTACCAAATAATAGAAATCACTCCATTTTCAACAGCTGCAAAAACTAAAATACATGTAAGTCGAAGAGAAAAATAATGATATAATCAAGATGTTGACATTCCACAGTAATTCATAGTAAAGGTTAGGAAGGAAACCTTCATCAATATTGTAAAGAGTGATAACAGTTACTGGACTTAGAAAATCTACTTTTCTGAAATATTGCTTTAAAAGAAAGCATTACTAGCTGCTTGGTCAATGAATGCCAAATGTTTCCATATAAGGAAACCATTAATATAAGCATTTAGAAATGACCAAGAAGTAAAGGTGGCTCTCAAGTAAAGACAGGAAAGAATTTCCTGATGAGATATTTTCTAATGCCATTGGGAAAGAATAAAAAATATCTCACTTCTTCCCACTCAGTTAAGAGTAAAATAGTAGAGCAAACCAGGCACTTTAGCCTTGGTAAAGTAAGCAGTCTAAGAGAAAAGAAATCAGAATGTCATAGGCGGGGAATTGGGCCTCTTTAGGTGAGTTTGGTTATCAACTTTGAAAAGCTTCTCACAACTTCTGTTGTTAACATGAGGGCAACATTTATTATCATGTTCTGATGAAGCTTCTGTCAACTTAGAATGCAAAAAAGAAATTAAATAAATTGCTTAAGTAAAAATGCAAGAGAAAAAAAAAACTCCTAATAAAACAATGGTACAAAGGAATTAAAAGCACAGAATGTCCAGCATCTCAGAGAATATCTTTTTGGCCTTCAAAAATAAACATATGAAAAACTTTTTTCATCAGCTCAAAAAGTTTTAGACACAAACACATTGGCTTTTTTGTTATTACTGCCTTTTTAATATGAAAAAAAGCAGTAAAAATGGATGAAAAGGATTTTCAGTGAGCAGATTGGAGATTTTAGCAATTAGAAAATATCTACAATGAGGAGAACAGAATTGATAGGTTAACTTTCCTTCCTCTTCCCTAATTAGTACGTACTATGTTTGACAGTTCAAGTGATCCTGAACAGTCAATCAGTGATACCCTAGTCTGGACAGCAAAGTGTATTAGGGTATATGTTGTGAAGAGAAGATGCTTTTTAAACACATGGATCAAAACAGCTTCTTGCAACATGATACACTGGATTTGTGATTAAGGATAGACTTTTGTAATATCCATTAGCTTTCCTTTTCAGAGTTTGATTCCTTTTCTACAGCTCATCAACCATTTGCAGCTTACTTAAAGACAGAAAATATTTTTAGATTATAAGATTTTTTTTTTTTTTGGAGATGATAATGGTTTAGTGATACAAGTCTTCCCAATTAGCCCATAGTTTGGGGGTGGGGAGAGCTGGATTAAAACCATTCCCAAGCATATTTGCATGTAAGTAATTATAATGAACCTGACTGGAATTGGAACTCTGTACTCCAATTTACAATTCTGAATAATTAAACATTGCACTACCTGGAAATTTAAACTTACAGCACCTGGTATTCCCAAGTGGTAACCAATCTAGGTATTGTCCAGGCTTGACATTGCTTAACTTCAGTGATTGTAAGGGAACTGGCAATTCAATGTGATGTGGTTGTAAACTTTTCAGGGTTGGAGATAAGGCATGTAACACATTTGTACACTTTCTAGCATGTTCTCTTACATAATAAACTGTTTCATTTATAAGAAGGAGAAAGTCGAGGGAAGGAAAGAGAAAGGGGAGAAAGTTGAGGGAAGAAAAGAGGAGGAGGAGAAAGTCAGAGGAAGGAAAGAGGAGGAGGAGAAAGTCAGGGGAAGGAAAGAGAAGGGGAGAAAGTCGAGGGAAGGAAAGAGAAGGAGGCGGAGAAAGTTGAGGGAAGGAAAGAGAAAGGGGAGAAAGTCGAGGGAAGGAAAGAGAAGGAGGCGGAGAAAGTTGAGGGAAGGAAAGAGAAAGGAGGAAAAGTTGAGGGAAGGAAAGAGAAAGGGGAGAAAGTTGAGGGAAGGAAAGAGGAGGGGAGAAAGTTGAGGAAGGAAAGAGAAGGAGGAGGAGAAAGCCGAGGGAAGGAAAGAGAAGGAGGAGGAGAAAGCCGAGGGAAGGAAAGAGAAGGAGGAGGAGAAAGCCGAGGGAAGGAAAGAGAAGGAGGAGGAGAAAGCCGAGGGAAGGAAAGAGAAGGAGGAGGAGAAAGCCGAGGGAAGGAAAGAGAAGGAGGAGGAGAAAGCCGAGGGAAGGAAAGAGAAGGAGGAGAAAATCGAGGAAAGGAAAGAGGAGGAGGAGAAAGTCGAGGAAAGGAAAGAGGAGGAGGAGAAAGTCGAGGGAAGGAAAGAGGAGGAGGAGAAAGTCGAGGGAAGGAAAGAGTAGGGGAGAAATTCAAGGGAAGGTTAGAGGAGGAGGAGAAAGTCGAGGGAAGGAAAGAGAAAAAGGAAAAAGAATGAGAAAGAGAAGAATGAATACAAAAATCTGGAGGGAATGGCAAGAAAAGTAGAGGAAGAAAGATTAAAGAACAATAAAAATGAGAAAAATACACACAAAATGAAAGACAAATAGATGAAAAGACAATAAAAAAAGGAAAATACTTTTTTTAAAATTACGAATTTGGAAAGGAGAATGTTGCTGGGTTAAATGAATTGACACCATGTGAAGAGCCAAATTAAGCTTAGAATTAATAAAAGGACGTGTATGAAACTTTCACATTCAAATTCTAATTCTCTTTTCTTCATTTCATTTTAGTAGCTTTAGAAAAATGAAAAGTGGTTAAATAGTAGGGTAGACTAGGATCTCTTGCCTTGAAGTGGAAATTAGTCATGGAGAATAAAAATTGAATTCATAACTAGGCTGAAGAAGGATGAGTTTCATAAAACTATCTTGCCTTAGACATCACTGCTGGAGCACATGTAATGCCTCTGCTAGACAATTTTTCTTGCCTGAATCTATCTTATATATTTATAAGTCTAACATTTGTTCTTGCTTCAAATATTGTTGCTACATCTGGTCTTGTGCTCCTGCTATATATTTAGATATTCATGATAAAATCCAAAGAAGAATCTGCAATGTTATTGGGCCTGACCTGGCATCTCGACTTCAGTCTCTTTCCACCACTGTAACATAGCTTCCCTCTGCCTTTTCTATAAATACTTTCATGGTAATTGTTTGGATGATCTTTCCTCTATGATGTAAATTTTAAATTGTTACTTATAACCCCACTCCACCGACAAATTGTACAGATGGGGACTAATTAGGACTTCATAGAAACTGAGGTATTATGGTGGCTGTCATAAGAATGGTAAGTAAGAATGTGTTGTTTAGGTGTAAGGAATACTGTGATATGTTTGGGTCAGTGATTGTGTCTAGCTAAGTTTAATTATGCGACATATGAAGTCCAGCCTTCCCCTTTTGGCCTTGTGCCACATTTTTGAATAAAATAGAATAAATATCACTTTCCTTTATGATACCTAAACTTTATGAATTTAAGCACAGTACTAGATTGGTAGTAAGGTCTCATCACTTTACAATTGAAATGGCTAGATATAACCGTAAGTTCTATGCTAAATGTTTCTTCTCTCACACTTCTCACTTGTGGAACTCTTTCAGCTTCTTGCTTTCCAGTCAACTTTGATCTTCAAAAATTTAAATGCAATGTCAATTGTTATCTTCTGTTTTCTGTATACTTATTCTTTTATTTTCCTCTCATAATTTTTTCATTTTCCCTAACCCTCAGTAACCTCTTGTATCTTAGTGACTTTATTGCCTTGCTTGGAGTGAAATGATTAAAAAAAACCATTATGGGGCTTATAATATGATGGGACTATAATTTGATTTTGAAACAGTAATGGCATCCATCAATTTGGTAAAAGTTCTAAGTAAAAAAGATGCTCATGTGAAATATTTTAAAAATCTATTTTAATGGAAATTTTATGAAAGATCAAAGCAAACTCCATCTTGTTGTTAATAGGCAAACATTTAAGAGTGAGTTCTGCTTGACTATTTCAAGAGAGCCATTTTATGTATGGCATTGTTCCAATAAAAACTGGGCAGATAAGGAGAGAAAATAAAGAATACAGAGAGAAAAATATGGAAAGAATTAGAAATAAAATATTTGGAGTGGTAGTTGATTCCAATGGATCCCATATGTCCAAGAAAAATGAAAAGAAAATGTCCTTGTTGCTAAAATTAATTCCACGGAGTTAGAAACCGTTTCCTTTTGAGGAATTAAGTCGCACGTGCGATAATTTTAGCTCAGTTATTTGACAGGAAAGAAATAAGGGTGGAGGTAATGTAATATATGAATTCAACCAATCAGGTTTATGCTATAAAAATTTATATTAATACAATTTTTAAAATAACAGCAGATGAAAATGATTTATGTTCAGCTTTTGCAATTCTTTGAGGCAAATTTAAAAATATATTTCAAAAGAAATTATGACCTGATTTTTCAAATCTATTGAAGATGATGTATCCATTGCTATTCTCATGAATTCCGAGAAAAAAATTTGTTTATTTAATAATGTCTTTCTTCTTCTTCTGATTTACATTTACAAAATCAAATTCAATTTCATATTTCTTATTATTTTGCTTATTCTTGAGAATAAAATAAAGAAAAAGACCTACAGAGACTCAGATTTTTATTTGGGCAGAAATTATTTCATCCCAAGCAAGGCAATAAAGCCACTAGGATGCAAGGAGTTACTAAGTGTGAAAGAATATAAGAAAAAGAAAAACATTATTAAGGAGCAAGAACAATAAACAAACAGGAATCAAGAAAACAAGATTTTGAAGATAAAAGTTGACTGGAAAGCAAGAAGCTGAAAGAGAATTCCACAAGCGAGAAGTGCGAGAAAAGAAACTATTTTTTTTAAACAAGATTTATCATGTCCATTCATCATGGAGTTTAAAATTGACTATTTTAATAGGGTTCATGCCTTCATAGACAGAAAAACAAACAAGTTTTACAAAAGTTAAAAATCATATATTTCCATCTTAACACTTTAAGGATCATCAGAAAATAATATATTAATTTGTTGTAACCTAGAGAAGGTTACTGAATAGAATAATCATATGAAGGTTGGTAATGAATGATAATACTTAGGACAAGAACAACACATATAAGATTCGCCAGTGGCAGATAGAAGTAGTCAACTGCTAGAAGTGAGTCAAGTGAATTCCACAATGAATCTCCAACTGCAAATCCAAAAAAATAGTATTTACTATTGTATTTATGTGAATGGGAACATTATTGTCCGTAGGTATGCTACAACATAATTATAAAAAGTAAAAATAATAATCTTGTATTAATTATAGCGGTTTATAAAAAAAAACCCAAAGAGATCAGTCTCAATTATAGGTGCTACTGTTAAATCAGGATCTGTGGTGTGGTGTAATGCATGACAGCTCAGAATGAGAAATCTTTGAGTCAAGTTTGAATTCCAGTCAGGTTCATTACATCCACTTATGCACAAACATCCTTAGGAAAGGTATGAATCCATCTCTTCTCTTCTCAGCTATGGGTTGAATAGCAAGAAAGACTGGGTCCTATAGCCTTGGTTGGCAGCCAGTCTACCAGAGAAAGAAATGGCAACTTACTGCAAGAAAATCTCCCTTGTCAGTCATGAATCAACAGAGATATGATCACCCAAGCGTGTATCACATATAGCAATTAACTGACTAATAAGCCATGAATACCTACATCTAGGCATCAATGTACTAATTTTATTTCATTTTTTTTATTTAAAAAATTGAATTTTCATTGTATCTGAATAGTAAAACGGAAAAAGATGTACAAAAATGTATTAAAACTTTTTAGATACATAATATGTGTGTATTTTGTACTGGTTAGCAGAGTCAAGTTTGAATTCCAGTTGAGTTTATTACATCCACTTATGTGCTAATGCCTTTGGGAAAGGTATGGATCTATCTCTTCTCTCCCAGCTATGGGTAAAATAGTGCACAGACTAGGTCCTATAGCCTTGAGTGGCAACTGAATTCTGCTGCATTGTAGATTGTACCACTTTAGGGAAAGTGTAAGCGATCTGGGATTGCAAAGGAAATATTTGTCTCAGATTACTTCCACAACGCAGAGAATAATTCACTAAGTTCAGACTCAAACATCGAGGGCAGAAAGAAATGCTGAAAACTCGATTCGCAGGTACTATCTCAAAAATCACAATGCACATAACAGTCAGAAAAATAACGCACTTTCCAACCAACACGGTAGCTCAATTCCTCAAATTTTATTTTCTCTTTTGCTTTTATCGGCTGAGCATTTTTTCATTCGTTGACAACTGGGAGAGGACGCTCAATTTTTGCATATCAAAATACTTTTTATTGCGATTCCTGTGACTGACTTGTTTCTAAAATATTTTGTCTTCAGCAGGTCATGCGGAATATGTGCCCTTTTGTTTGGTAAGTAATTTTCTTTTTCGACACATTTTCCCTCGTAGGATACACGCAACACACTCTCGCTTGGTTTTATGAGGTAAGTTGCCGTTTTCTTCGCTATACAAAGACTACAAGGTAACTTCAAAAACAAATCCACGTCTTAGTGGAGGGACAGATAACCTCAATATCCACAGTGTAAAATTAACTGGCAGGCCATTGCACTATTTTGTCTTGAATGTC